TATGGTGATAATTTGAGCAGGCTGTGAGTTTTCATTTCAATCCCCAGATTGCCACAACCATGCAGTCTGTGTACAGGGCAAGGGTACAGGGCCTCTAAGGATCCCACTGGCTTTAATGGGAGCGACTTTGGGAGGAATCCTAAAAGGGTAAGGGATGGAGTGTACCGGAAGGTGTCTGAGAACTGACAGTATGTGCAGTACTGGTCAGAGACACACATTTCATGTCTCTCTGTGTGCGTACGTGTGTGTGTTAATGAACCCCAGCTCTACAGAAGCAGAGGACTAAGGAGGAACTTTTGGGAGCCGTGGACTTTTCTCAGCCCGAGAGACTCTTCTCACTCCTTTTAACCTTCCTCCTACCGGGTCCAGGACCCCCCGCCGTCCATCAAAACCCTAGCGTGCTACGTCCCTCTGGCTTCCAGCACTGTTGCCTCTGGTAAGCGAGGGTCTAGGTGATGACCTACACCTCTTTCCTTCCTGGGTTCATCCTTGAACCCACCTCCTGGGAACGGCATGACTCATTGGGGACTCCCTCTGAGTTCCGTCCTCATCTAGCCGTAGGGCTCATTCTAATCCTCCTTTTAAACTCTCTCTCTCTCTCTCTAATCCTCTTCAGAATGGGAGCCTCTGCCTTCTCCCTCTGGGGTGATTCACCCTTACAATGTCTCTTAAGCAACCTCACCACCCTATCCCTCAAGCCTGACATTAAACCCAAATTCCTCACCAAATTTTCCACACAAGATTGGCCTTATTATCCCTTAGATAACCAAAATAAGTGGCCCCCTGGGGGCACACTTGATCTTTTCATTCTTCGGGACCTTGTTAACTACTGCCAGCACCTGAGAAAGTGGAAAGAGATTTCATATGTGGAGGCTTTCCGCCTGCTTGCCCAAAATCCCTCTCTCTGTCCCACCTGCTCTCCTTCCCAGGTTCTCCTTGCTTCCAAACCCCCTCCATCCTCACTGCCTCCACTACCCCCTACTTCTGATAATTTTGACCCTGCGGACGAACCCGCCCCCCTCCCGTTCAGGTCTCCTTCTCCTGTAACTTCCTCTGCTTCCCCTCCGAAACGATCCCAACCCCCTCAGTTAACTCCGCTCCATCCGCCTCCTGCGCCTGGCTGGCCAGCCGGCAAACAGCCCTGGTCTCCAGGACAACCGCTGCAGGGTGAGGGCCCACGTAGTCAGTCTGTTCTCCCTCCTACCTCCTCCTCCCTTGTTTCTTCTAGTCCCACCTTGCCGCTATCTTGTTCCCTGCTGACTCCCATTTCACCTGCCCTGGCGCCTTCTTAAGCTCCCCCTGTAACTCATTACTGAGGACTCCTCCCCTCCTCCACCGTGGCTCCTCTCTGTGAGGTGGCTGGAGCTGAGGGGATNTGACCACAGGGACCACAACGTGGTCATGCAGGGTGTGGGAGCGGTAGGACCTCATGGGACATGTAATGGCAGCAGCTGAAGAGCGGGTGAGCTTAAGCCAGCTAGGCCGCCTGCCACATCCATAGTCCCTGGAGAAGAAGCCAGGCTCAGAAAGAAACGATGTTCCTTTTAATTTTCATTGCAGGGCTCCGCCTCAGCCCCACACAAATTCAGGCCTCCNGAAATACCCTGTAATGTCCACTGTGCCCGCTTCGTGTCCTTAAGTACTTTATGTTGTCTGGGTTCGGTGCCACACAAGACGCAGGCATGGACTATGGAGTGGAACAGTCAGTGGAGTTTGCAAAGGGCAAACTGGCTGTGTGCGCGCACTGCACCTCGCAAGCTGGGAGGGCTTCCTGGAGGCACGGGCCAGGGCTCACAGGCAGGCCAGTTGTGCCCCAGATGCCTGCGTTCAGAAGGCGGGGCCGTCGTGGTTGACAGCTTCTACCTCTTCCTCCATTGGCCGTGGAGCCATAGTAGCGTTCTGGGCGTGGCTGGGTGCCTTGGCGCCAAGAAGCCTGCAGAGGGCGCCAAAGCCCCGCGCATGCGCCCTTAGCCGTGCCCGAGCGCGAGGCTCCCAGAAGTTCCCAGAGTCGCAACCTGCCTGCGGCTTGGCTTCTCTCGCTGCTGCGGGGGGTGTGCAGGTCAAGGGTCTCGACCTTGCATCCCCGGCACAGCTGAGCCTGCTGAGGACCAGGGCAGCATGGCGAGTGAGGTGGGCTCCCAGGAGGAAGGGGCTCCCGCGGAACCCTGGGTGAACGTAGGTGTGGGAAAGGGCACTGAGGAGGGAGGGGCCGGTAGGCCCGTCTGGGAGCAGCTGCCAGAGGCCAGTAATGGCGTGGGGTGTGCGAACCAGGCAGAGTTGGGTGGGACGCCCAAGGAGGCCTCCGGGACCGGGGTTGAATCTCTGCAGGAAAGCGAGGCCGCGGAGGAGAGGGAGGCGGCGGCGACCGGGCAGGAGGTGGCGCTGGACTTGCTGGACGTAATGGAGGTGCTGGAGGTCGTGGCCAAGGAGCAGGAGGAGGGGGACGAGGACTTCAGGCAGGCACTGCTAGCCTGGTTACCCAAGGTGAACCGGCCGCCATTGGAGGCTTTGGAGATCCTTCAGTTGGAGCTGGGAGCGGTGAATGCCCGAGGCAGCA